GCCAAGTGGCTAGCCTATTGGTGAGCAGCTGTCCCATAATTAGTCAGCTTGGACCTTGGAAAGCCGTCTATTGCTGGGGCAATAGTTGAAGCTTTTCCAGCTAGGTGGATTCTACCAGAGTTTTCACCATCCTAGTATAGCTTTCAAGAAACCAATGGTTATTATCATGATGCCATGACGAACCACTGGAACAGGATTTTGTGGAGGAAAATGTCACTGTAATGGTATCACATGTTCATTTTGCTGGGCAAGGGGCCATGAAGCAAGAATATCCTGGAATGTGGACTGCTTATTGAGTCCTGGGGTTTCACCACTTCTTAGCTATGTGATCTTTGGCAAGTTTTTTCTACTCTTTCAGCCTCAGTTTTCTCATCTGTAAAACCAAGAAGATAATAATACACAAGCACCTACTTCACATTGTTGTCATTGGAATCAAATAAAAGAATGTGATGTGCTTTAAGACTATTAGACGTTATCCTGGTGTAAGGCGCTGCTGTTATTCTCCCGCGTTTTCATTCAGAGGATTTTTACACAAGTCTTAGTTTCTACAAATCACAGAGTCATCACATAAAGTCTTCCAGTTTATTTTACTATCATGGTGGGGAAGAGAGTATCATTTTAAAAATGGCAACCACTCCTACTCCCACACCTTCTGCCCTTTCTAAAAACAAAACTAAGATGCAAACTTAACAGAGCTAGCTATTCTAGCACAGTTTGTCAAACCTCACACTGCTGCTGTATAGATATTTTCTTTTTACAATACGTTAATGCCTTTTTGATCAAACCAATACATGGCACGTAGCAATTTTCTTCCAACTAGGACAGAAAATATTTTGCCAACTCCATCTGCTTAGTTTTTGCTGAGTGGGAGCAGACTGTATAGTTAAAAACTAAGTCCTGAGAAATGTCCCTTTTTGTATAATGGAGATTGGGTAACTATTTCTATTTTAACACATTACTAGCACCTTATCCAACATACAGAATAAAGAGGTGACTTATCAGTGACCTTTATCATAAAGTGCAAAGGGCACAAAACCAGCCATGAAAGAAACTGCTTAATCTCTTTACATAAAGGATGAATACAAATAAAATTATATATAACTTGAAAATGTCACTGCATAAATTAAATTCACTGTCAAAGTGAGTCATTAATAGCCCACTGATAAGAAAAAAGAGATTTATTCATACTATATTTTACTGCCAACTATCACTCTGATACAAAGAACATGAACATGGAATTAAAAGGAGATATGAAAATATGAATGGTAATTTGATTATTTGCAAGGTTTTTATTTTGTTTTAAAGTAGAAAATATTGCTCAGGCAGTTTTACTCAAATGATTGAACATGGTTGTTTTATTTTAATAATTCAATAGATCAATCATGTTAAAAACATTTTGATAGATTAAAGCTAGATCAGACACTGAAACATACCCTTTAAAAAACACAGTCTCATTTGCATTTACTAAGGAAAACACCTCTTCTATGAAAGTTAAGGGAAAAAATATTCAAAGCTATAAAACAGGTAATAGAGCTCTCTTTATCTATGGAATTTCTGAGGCAGGGTCTGAAAAAGAGTTAAGAAGGAGGTAGGTAGGCTGAAATAAAGGAGAAAGGTTGAGTTAAGTATAGAAAGCAAGATTTGAATACAGAAAGCAATGAAAAGGACACAGGCAAAGGACTAAGAAGTCCAAATGAGGACCCAAGCATGGTGTTTAGAGGTCTTAGAAGGAGAAAAATAAACAAAATCTCAGGTCTTTGACCCCATGTCCTATCCCAGCTCTGCTACTTTCTACTTTTGGGACCCTAGACAAGACACTTAACCTTTCTTCCTCAACTGTAAAATAAGGGGCTTGGACCAGATGACCTCTAATGCTACTTCCAGCTCTAAATCTATCAAATTAGTAGAGACATATTAATTGGATGATTGATACAATTGAAAAGAAGCTAGATTTATAAGAAAAACTGGATTGGATCTTTGTAGTTTAAGTAGAAAAGAGAGGAAGACATTATAGACTGCAAAATAAACAGCAATCAAAATTGCCTGGCTTGAGAATAAGAGACCTGGAAAGACTCCCATGTCCTTGGTCTATATTTCCCCCTCTTTTTTTTAAGGCGCCATAGCTTGAGAATGATGTGGAGAACTTAGGGAGGCTTTAGGAAAGAGAGATGATTAAGGGGTTTGAGAATGTGATCTCTGAAAGAAAAGCAAAGGAACTGGAGAAAGAAAAAGCAGAGGGACAACTTAATAATGATTTTCATGAATACGAATGGCTATTATACAGAAGATGATGACCACTCTCAAAATTCCCACTGAACAAGGGTAAACAAGTTTTTTAACGTTGCAACATGAAAAATATGGATTAAATGTAAGAAATTCCTGACAATGACTGCTGTTAAATGCTAGGATAGGCTGCCGAGGGAAGTTGCAGAATCTCTTCCTCCAAAGTTCTCTGATAACAGAATAGTCTCAACTTTATGAGACACTATCAGAAGGCAGAAGCATAGACTAAGATTCAACTGGTATACTACTTTCTGGATAGCTATTCATCTGTCCTTTAATTTGCAATGGTCACAGACACCCGTCCTGGGATATTTCAAGTTCCCTACAGACTAATTTTGGGATTAATATCACTGCAAGTTACCAACCCCAACAGAGTTGGGATTCCTGCCCCTATCAGTGGGTCATAAAGAAATAACTTTTGTGAATTGTACACAGTTCACTGATGATTATATTATGCTGGTAAACAAATGGGCTCAGAAACTCTTTGGGATCCAAGGTACAATATAAATATTAAGTGATAGCTGAGAATACTTTGAAGCTATAGCTTTAATAAAAAAAAAAAAACAAACCCGTGTCTCTTGGTAAAATACCCTGGATTCTTTATACTGTATTGGTGAGGTTTCAATTTTTATGTCAGTAAATTTCAAGTTTTGATGTAGCTTGTTACTGTCACATATCACTTGGCTAAGACTCTTTTCTTTTATTTCTATTTTTTATTGCATTTAAGTAAGCCTATGGCTACTGAATACAGCTGGTGTCTCTTGCTTTTGAAAGCTTAGCCTGTGGATTATTAAATGAAGAAAGGGGACTTAATCATACTGAAGCTCATGAAGAGAAAGGGAAAGAAAGGAGATTTAACAAGCTGTTGTAAATTGTTCTCTTGTCCATGAAAACAGAGAAAAGGAGATCACTTGGCTTGATAGCACTGCATCTTTGGAATACAAAATAAGGCATTACATATTTTGATAAACATTGGGAGATTTAAACTTCTGTGATTATATATATCTCGAATCTCAGTCACTGACATTAGGTCTTGGTCGACACTATTAATACAATGTGAAAGCAAGGAAATGCTTTCACAAATGCTCTACAACTAAATACACAGATTTTCCTGCTGCACTCAGACGAAAAGTTGGAACTTTAAAAGTAAGTACAAAAAAGTAAATTTGTCCTACAGTAAGGAGATGCTTCTGAGTTAGGCAAAATAGCCTTACTATATATATATCTAAAAATCTTCATTTGCTTCTAATTTGGATTTTTTCATTCCAATAAGTTTGACAGTACTACTGACACTGAAATAAATTTAATTTCTGTAAAAGACTGAATAAGTTGACCTAATTTTCCTTTACTAGTTCATTCCTATAGTATATATTTATGACATAAGAGCTATGTATAAACATATAACATATAAAACCCAAAAGGGGGTGGATTGAGGGAAAGCAGTTTACAGAGATAGTCTGGAAGCTTCAGAAGAGGGATATTTGTCTAGAATAAGCAAAAATATATGAAATATATTAAAGAACTGATACACTTAGGTAGGACTTTATTCTAAAAACTATGCTGAAGGAGAGAACTCATCCTAGTACCTTTGGTTGGGGTATATAAGAGCTTTAGAAAACTGAATGTGAGTTCCATAACTCAGAATATTAAAAATTTCCCATCATTTCTACCTCTACCAAAATATCTTTGTTTCACCTTTGATTTCTTACACATATAAGGAAGAGCAATTTGTTTTCTCTAAAATTCAAGCATACCAGATAATGTCTCTAAAAACCTAGCTCTGGAGAGAATATTGAAAGACCACAAAATAAAAACCCTAAACATGCTTATAATTAAATTACATCCATTGGATTTCATGCCCTTGATGGACATATTCTGATCCCTGCTAAGACAGCCCATGCATATTTTACTTCATTTGAAGAACAGGCACCAAGACTGCTTAAATGGATTTTCTTTAGTTAAGCCAAATGGGGTTGTTTATTAGCCCAGAATGACAGAAAACACTCAAGCCTCTGATCAGATATGCTGCTTGCTCTAACAGCATCTCCACCTCTAGTTTTCTGAGAAGCTAAATGTAAAAGCGAATGAGACACTAGGATGCCAGTGGATTACAAACCAGTCTGAGAGCTTGAACAAAACAACAAAAACTTGAATATTTTGATTGTGCCAAATGACTAGGAAGCAGGCACTTAACTCCCTTGTCCAGGTCATTCTTCACAGAAGAAATATCATGTTTTGATTATTTGCTTACTTGAACATGATACTCTATTGTTCCAAAACAGAAGAAACCAGTCTAATTTTTTTTGGGAGTGGGGAGGGTCTCATTTGGAGAAAAGAGCAATTGAAATAGATTAAAATACATTTAGTGGATTAAAAAGCACAGTCACATCATGCAGAGGGGGCAACAACAACAACACATAATACATTAGTACAGTTTAACCCTCCCCATATTATCAGGTTACAATCACATCAACTATAAAACATAAAAAGTTATAATTAGTAATATTTACATAACTACATCAACATTAAAAAAAACTTAACATTAGAAAAAATCTGAATCAGAAAGAGTTTTGTAACATTCTAAGTAAACAATAAATACATTTTTAAGACTTAATAGAACTGCTGAGACTTAACAGAACTGCTCATGCTAATAAAACCAAGTATAAAATGAAATAAAATTTAGCTAAATATTCTTTTTTATTTTGTAAGAAAAGAAGTTAAATTCTTATAAGTCAGCATAAACAACATGGCTTATTTAAGGGGTTGTAAAAATGTGTAAAATACTTGGATTTCAGTGTTTTGATTTTTAAGAGGAAGATATACATATATATATACATATATATATATATAAAAGGAAAAACTCAACATGAGCAACTTCGTGCGAAGAGTTCTGTTCATATGAAATTACTGTGCAATTTCTATATAAGTTACATTTTAAATCCACTTAAATACTAGTAATTAGGATAATTTACCACTTATTTAAAATACTACTAAGAGGAAGATTGGTGAGTAGCATAATAAAGATACTAGAATCTCTTCCTGCCTAAAAGAACATTTATGTTGACTCAATTCTAGGCCAATTTAAAACTAGAAAAATTAGTTTGCTCGTTAGTTTTGTAGCTTTCCCCTTATTCTAACTAATCAGAATGAAAAGAAAAGCATAGTGTGACCCCCTCCTTCAAAATTATACACTAATATTCTTTGGGACCAAAATGGAATTTTATGTATAGTACTAGAGGACTTTATATTTCGTATGGATTTGAAAAGGATTCACCAACCACAAGAAAATGGTGTAAATCCCCCAAAAGAAGCATTTATCTATCATAAGAATAGAACTGGGTGACATCTACTGGAATATATGACTTGTGACTTCACTTGCACTAAAATCTATTTTTAAAGACTGTGAATACACGAAAGTTTCTGAGTTCAAACGTATGTTAAGTATGATTCATTCAAGGTCTTCAGTTTCTTCAGAAAATAGGTCCGCAAGATCAGCCACTGTCAAGACTGAAGCCTCTGACTGCTTCAATGATGAGCTAGTATGGCTGTAGAAATTTTAGAGAGCAGAGTGAGATTAGCCAAAATCAATTCCCTTGGGAAAGAAATTCTGTTTATGTAATAAATAGCACACAATGCAAAGAGTTATTCTAAAACTTCTGCTATCTATACTCCAATGCATATCTAGAGGAATCTAGGTGGTAAGATAACTGTTTGTTCAAAAGCAGTACACACTACTCTATTTATTAGTTGTAGTCTCTTTTTTGAAAATGTTCTATGAGGAGTTTAAAAGGCATCAGTGAGGCTTGGACCATGTCTCCTCACTATCCAAAGTTAAACTGTCTCAGAGAATTTTAACAGTTTTCTATTCTGAGGATTCTTAAATAAATCAAAGATGATTAGTAATGAGAAATCAACAACAACAACAACAAAAAACAAGTAAAACTGAAGCCTAAAGCTAACTTTTATTTTACTGATGTGGTAACCTCTTTTCTTCCTTTTAGACTTCTAATGGAAGAAAACAATTTCTGGCTTCAAATCACTATTCTGCTCAGCAGAGCCACTCCACAGAAATTACCCCTTTTAAGGCAATATTCTACTTCTTGGATTTTCTCCAATCAGACCTATCATACAGGGATGTCGTGAGGTATCAGTTAATGCTTGTTAAGGACTTTGAAGAGGAAAAACGTATGGTACAAGTGTTAAGAAGTTTTATAATTCCCTAATTGGAATCGTTTGCTGACCAAATCAAGTTTTATTACTATGGTACAGTAGCTTTTGCTGTTAACAATAAATAGCTGAATTCTATGCTCACACTCTCCCTTTTGTATATGACTATTAGACATACAAAAAACAAGTGTTCATATTTATCCATACTAGGCTAAGCCTTTCAATTTTGGGAGGCAGAAATATTTTTTTCACTTATAAATTGATCAAGGATAGCTTTATAATCTGATAGTTTTAATACACATTTTAATCAATTTATAAATATAAACATATATTTCCAATTTATTATTTTATGTTTTGACTTAAAATTCAAAATTAAAGTGAAACCAATGTGTAACCAGTTTTTCTCCTCCATTAAAACAAAGAGTTTTAATATAGTTAAGAGTTTTAATATATTTAATATTGCATGTAATATTGCATTTAAAAGGCACATATGTTTTAAGTTTGTGAATTAAATGTGAAAATATATTAGAGGAGACATAATAACTGCTCTTCTTCCAGGTTAAATGAAGATGAATTATTTTGCAATTTATAAATGATTCTTTTAATGAAATTAGTCATGCCAAATAAAGAAGTCTTAAATTTGTGCTTCTTCACACACACACATATGTATGCTTGACAAAACTGTTTTTTTTAACTGATCATTGTTACCTCCTCTCAGCCGTTTTCAACATTGCCTGCATTCTTTCTTCAATAGTTGCTTTAATTAGGAATCTGTGAACAATGGTAGGCCTATAAGATGAATAAAAATGAAAATGTCATAGGGATAGGAATAAAGACTGCATCGGTAGTTTTGTTAGTATAGGGAACTCCCAGGAGAGGAAACTCCCTTTACCAATCAATATAGATTGATACCTTTTCTGTAATTTATAGCTTTAGAGTTACTTGGATGACTGTGTGACTTGTCCAGGGTCACACAGCTAGCATATGTCAGATGCAGGACTTGAACCCTGGTTTTCTAGGCTAAAGGCCTGCTCTCTATATACTATAACACAAGCTTCATGTTAAAATGTAATAAACATACTAACTAAAACTAATTAGTCACTAACGAATCAATATTGCATGTCATTCTTTAAACTGTCAAAGCAAAATACTAACGTGCATAACAGTTAAGGAAATAGCAAAAATTTCTAAACAGAAACTGATATTATTTATATAGGAAATAAATGTCTTATAATAGTCTGTTGTCACAGCAATGTCCATAGAAAGAGTTTAAGTTAATGTCAAAAGAGAGGGGGGAACACTTAGAGAACTTTTTTCCGGCACAGTACTACTGTCAGTTGCTCAAGGGAAGTGATTTGTATAAAAAACGTCTAAACCAAGTTTAGCACCCTTCCTTTCAAAACTGACTCTCCTTTACCAGCTTCCCCATTTCTGCCAATGGCACTGTCAGTTTTCTGGAGATGTCAGCTTGAAACTCTTTTGGGGGGGAAGAGATTGGTCAAAATGACTAAATGGGGAACTATTCTGGTTTTAGGCTATAAAACTTCTTTTTATTAATGATAACATAAAATAAATGGAAAATCAACATGCATATATTTTGAAATTTCATGTTTCCTCTCTTGAAAAATGTCAGGATTTAAAATCTAACTTTATTTGTCATTTCCTAGAATGAACAATTTAGACAACAAAAGAACAATTGCTGGATCTAGAGTCAGAAGATAGAAGTCTGAGGCCCTGCTCTGGTATTTGCTACCCGTGTAACTGTAAATAAATATCACTTCTCTGAACCTTTCTTATCTACTATTGATAATAATGATAATAATATCTCCATTTTTAGAGTGCTTTACATATTATTTGATCTTCCTGAAACCCTGTGAGGTAGGTGCTCTTCTTACACTCATTTTACAGAAGCAGGAATTGAGGCTCAGTGAGGTTAAACGCCTTGCCCAGTGTAACATAGCAATGAGGTATCAAAAGTGGGATTGAATCCAGGCCTTCTTGACTCAGTGTCAATAAATGCCCATTGGTACTTCTCCAAAATGAGGACCTTTAAGATCCCTTATAATTCTAATATTCCATAATCTGATGGTGACAGAATACATAATGAGTACAAACAAGAATCTGAAGTGAAAAGTAATATGTTTAAAAAAAAAATTCAGCTCTGAAGCCTGCCATCCCCTTGTATTTTTTCATTGTTCATTACGTTTAAAATAATTATTTAGTAAATTGGCTTTAGCTATGAACATATTCCTTTCATGTAAAAGATTATCATAGCATTGTTACACTAAATTTTCTTGCCCCGCTGGTCTTTTGTCTAAAATTAGACCCCTTCCCAACCCCCACCCCCAAACAAAAATAAAACTAAAGAAAATAAAATTAGATCCCATACTTTGAAAATTGACTGGTCCTAATTTTTAGACAGGCAGACACACCTACTTGTTGTGGGGTTATCCAGGGATTCCTGTCTAGGCCCTATGATCTGGAAAGGAAGGAAGAAAAACCTGCCCTAGGTTAAAACTTTATTCAATTTAACAAGCATTTACTAAGACCCTAATACTCAAAGGGTATCATGTAGACCTGGCCTTTAATCTGTAATTGCCTGAGGCTGAACTTTGATCCCAGATACCTGAAGAAAAGAAACATTATTCTACCATAGTTCTATCCTACTGACATCCCTTTTCCTCCTCCTTTTTTATTTTATTTTATTGTTTTGCTTTTTGGTGAGGCAATTGGGGTTAAGTGACCTACCCAGGGTCACACAGCCAGTAAGTATCAAGTGTCTGAGGCTGGATTTGAACTCAGGTCCTCCTGACTCCAAGGCCAGAGCTCTATCCATTGCACAACCTACCTGCCCCAAAATAAATCTTCATTTTTTGGGGGGGAGGGGCAAGGCAATCTGGGTTAAGTGACTTGCCCAGGGTCACTCCTCCTCCTTTTTTTTTAATAGCCATGAGTTGCCAACCTTTTGGGCTTCTGTTACATGCCCAGTACTTCCAAAGGCCAAACACACATATACGTTGCTTGGTTTAATAATATTGCAATTAAAATGCCCATTATGGATGCATTTTTGTAAATATGTATTGTACTGAGAAAAAAACATTGGGCAACATCATCAATCTGATATTTATATCCAGGTATAACTGAAGAGAGATCTTCTTGTTACAAGATTCACTTTGTGCACTGGTCTAAATCTAGCAGATCCTTAGATCTGACCTAGATAGAGGCTAGCCTTTTCCTCAGGGCAAAAGTTGAGAGGGAGAATTGTTTGTTTTCATCTGAATTTGATCTACTTTCTTTCATATGTAGTCTGGACAGTTAACAAATTGTCAACTTTCACCCAAATTATGGTGTTTGCTTTCAATTTCATTGCCAACTCCAGTCTTTCCAGCCCCAGCTGACAAACTTTTTGGGGATCCAAGGGATGAGGATAATTTGAAAAATTAGGAAGATGAGGATCAATCAGGGGAAGTATCGGCATTGCCCACACTACAGATAAGGAAAGGAGCTCTAAAGGACCCCTGGAGAGTCTTCTTGGCTTTCTAATTAAAAGGCTCTCAGACTGTTTTAACACAAGTTAAAGAAGCACAAAGTTAAAAGGGGCCTCAAAGGTCAATTATCACAATTGTTTCTTAAAGCACAGATACCATCTACAATATTACCAACAAGTGATAATCCAGCCTCTGCTTGAACAGTTCCAGTGATTGAGAACTCATTACTTCCTTTTTTTTTTTTTTAAGGCAATTGGTGTTAAATGACTTGCCCAGGGTCACACAGCTAATGAGTGTTAAGTGTTTGGTCTGAGGCCGAATTTGAACTCAGGTCCTCCTGACTTCAGGGCCAGTGCTCTATCCATTGCGCCACCTAGCTGCCCCGAAATGGCAGAATATAGGAATTTTCAGAGGCTCTTCCAAAAAAACTCAGAGTACCTAGCTCTCCTTCTTTCTTTTTTTTGCTAGGCAATGGGGTTAAGTGACTTACCCAGGGTCACACAGCTAGTAAGTGTTATGTGTCTGAAGCTGGATTTGAGCTCAGGTCCTCCTGTATCCAGGGCCAGTGCTCTATCCACTGCGCCACCTAGCTGCCCCCTTGAGAACTCATTACTGAAAAAGGCAGCCCATTTTCATGTTGAGACTGTTCTAAATATTAGGAAGTTCTATTAAAAATATATCTAACTGATTTATGAGCAAACAAGAGATAAAGAATTATGAAATGCAAAATGGATAATTTTGATTACATTAAATTGAAAAGTTTTTGCACAAACAAAGCCAATGCAACAAAGATTAGAAGGGAAGCAGAAAGCTGGGAAACAATTTTTACAACAGTGTCTCTGATAAAGGCCTCATTTCTATAATATATAGAGGAATGAGTCAAATTTATAATACAAGTCATTCCCCAATTGATAAATGGTCAACGAAGAAGAACAGGCAGTTTTCAGATGAAGAAATTAAAGTTTATCTATAGTCATATGAAAGAATGCTCTATATCATTATTGATTAGAAAAATGTAAATTAAAACAATTCTGAGGTATCACATCACACCCATCACATTGGCTAACATGACAAAATAGGAAAATGATAAATGTTGGAGAAGATGTGGGAAAATTGGAACACTGATGCATTGTTGGTGGAGTTGTGAATTGAACCAACCATTCTGGAGAGCAATTTGGAAGTAGGCCCAAGTGCATACCCTTTAATCCAGCAATACCACTTCTAGGTCTATATCCCAAAGAGATCATAAAAATGGGAAAAGGACCCACATATACAAAAATAGTTACAGTAGCTCTTTTTGTGGTGGTCAAGAATTGGAACTTGAGGGGATATCCACCAATTTGGGAATGCTAAACAAGTTTTGTTATGTGAATATAATGGAATACTATTGTGCTATAAGAAATGATGAACAGGCAGACTTCAGAAAAATCTGGAAAGACATATATGAACTGATGGTTGAGTAAAATGAGCAGAACCAGGCAACGGTGTATACAGTAGTAGCCACATTGTGTGATGACTGACTTTGATAGACTTAGCTCTTCTCAGCAATGCAAAGATCTAAGACAACTCCAAAAGACTCATGATGGAAAATGCTATCCACATCCAGAAAAGGAGCTATGGAGTCTGAATGCAGATTGATGCATACTATTTTCTCTCTTTTTTTTCTTTCTCATAGTTTTTCCCTTTGGTTCTAATTCTTCTTTGTAACGTGATTAATGTGGAAATAGGTTTAATATAATTGTATATGTATAGCCTATATCAGATTGCATGCCGTCTTTTGGAGAGGGAGGTGAAGGAGCAAGAGAAAATTTAAAACTCAAAATCTTATAAAAGTGAATGTTGAAAACTAAAACTAAATAAATATGAAAAAATTATATCTAAATGAAATTTGCTTCAAGGCAACAGATGCCCTCTGGAACCATACAGCCTAAGTCTAGAGAAAGAGTTGGATTATTTATTTAGTTTTCTAAATATTTAAAGTCAAAGTGCTTGACTTTGTTTTCAGTCTTACTTTGTTTGTCCAATTCGGTGTACTCTTCCAATAGCCTGAAGCTCATGCGCAGGGTTCAAAATAGGTTCCACTAGAAGAACATGAGTTGCTTCAATGATATTTAAACCATTGGAACCTGTGTGCAGGGGAAGCAGCAAAATATTGATCTTGGGATCATATTTAAATGCTGAGAGGTTTTCCTGAAAGAAAAAAAATAGACAAGTATTTCAAATGTCACCACAGAAAACTGAGATGCTCATTCTCCAAATCAGCAGGATGCTCTGTGGCACCCAGATAATGAACTTCTGTGAAATGTAAAATATTTAAAATGCATCATTTTCAAAAAATCAAAACCTAAATTAATTCAGTGCTGTAGAAAAGTATTCTATGGACCACGTTGGCCACACAAAAAGTATAATATGTATATATGTATATTTCATAGGGGGCTTTCCTATATTAAATTTTCACAATTAAATATATTTACTTTTAATTTTTATTTTATTTTATTATTATTATTGTTATTTTTTTTTGCTTTTTGGTGAGGCAATTGGGGTTAAGTGACTTGCCCAGGGTCACACAGCTAGTTAAGTGTCAAGTGTCAGAGGCCAGATTTGAACTCTGGTCCTTCTCACTCCAAGGCTGGAGCTCTATGCACTGCGCCACCTAGCTGCCCCTACTTTTAATTTTTAAAATTTAATTTAAAGGGGCAGCTAGGTGGCGCAGTGGACAGAGCACCAGCCTTGAAGTCAGGAGTACCTTAGTTCAAACCTGACCTCAGACCAAACACTTGACACTTACTAGCTGTGTGACCCTGGGCAAGTCACTTAACCCCAATTGCCTTAAAAAAAATTAAATTTAAAAAGATTAAGTAACTACTGTTTGCAGAGCAGTCTGCTAGGTCCTGGGGTGAGATACAAACTTAGGTAACATATAGTACATGCCCTCATGGAGCTTACCATCTTAGAGGAATAAGAACTATGCAATGATAACTATAGTAATATAACATTATAGGATGTATCAGGATGGTGTTAATCAAAATACTAAGTGGGCTCTAAGAAGAAAGGCTTGTCACTGATGATGGATAAGGAAATATTTAATAGAGGATATTTCCTCTACTGTACATCCTTCCTAGAGGGTCATCAGAGCGGCCAGGAAGACCAGGCTAGGGAGATACAGAAGATTCTCAAGCAGAAGTGGCAAGATGGTTGATGTATAAAGAGCAGAGCAGATTGAGCAGATTTACAAAGAGAGATTGAGTATACAGATGTACAAATCTCAGAACAGTATGAAGGGAAAATAGAGATGGGAAAGAGGAGCACTTGTTACAATAACAGCAATTAGAGTCTATGCCAGGGTGGTAGAAACAGTAATAGTGGGAGCACATAAATAGTAGAGATATTGCTGAAGAAAGCTTGGCAGGTCATAGTAATTGATTGGATCTCTATGAAAGACAAGGAGTCAGAGATAACATCACAATTTTATATATGGAAAATAGGGTGAATTCTACAGACAAAAATAAAGAAGTTGGAAGAGGTTCCAAACATAATAAACTCAGTTTTGGACAGAAGTTTGAGATCTTGATGGTACATTCAGGTAGAGATGACCCAAATACAGCTGGAGATGTAGAGAACATCCTTGAGACTACCATGACTGTGCTGCATTTCCACCTTGAACTTCTCTCAGCTTCTGGGACCTTCTTACTCTGGCACATTTCTCTATCATCACAGCTTCCTCCCAATGAAGAGTTCCTTCTAAGGACTCCATTTTGAGGACACAGACAGAATGGCCATATTTCACTATCCTCTCAGATATGCTTCTGTCCCTGGACTGTGCCACTCTTATCCCAGCCTCCCTCACCCTGTACTTTTTAGCTCTCTTTTCTGTGGTGTCTTCTGTCAATTAGAATATAAACTCTTTGACAGTAGGGACTGTTCCCTTTTGCTTGTATTAGTAGCTTGGCAAATTTCCTGGCACATATTAGGTGCTTAATAAATGCTTGTTTATTGACAAGTAAACAAAATCCTCCACAACACTATATGCACTTAATGAATATTTGTTGAACTGAAAGATGAGAGGGCTGCTTCAGACTGATAACCTAACAGCTCTGAGTCCAATTTAAATATCTCTAAAATATAGATGTTAGAAACTAGATCAATCATTCCCAACCTCTTAAAAAATAAGGAATTCTTTTTACCAACAAAAAAAATTATGAGCCTATAACTCAGAAACTGCATAATGAGAAAAAATTTATATGGATTTAATAACACTTTAAAATGAATTTGTATTCCTATTAATCATATCTAAATGCACTAAAAAAATAATTATTCCTGTTACATATTTTGTTGGAGCTAAATAAAGATCACTATGATAATGCTTGGTGAACATATATAGGTTCAGGGACCCCATGGCAAACCATGGGTTAGTGGTCCACAGGTTGGGAATCACTGGACTTTATGATGTCTTTCATCTAGAATCCCAGGAATCTATGATTCAAGTTCTAAAGTGTCGAAATAGAAGGCCTGTGAAAATGAGAAGCGCAAACAAGACGATAATATTTTATCTCAATAATTAGGTGATAGTAGGTGTGAGTGAAGAGACTGATGGGACTTGACTGTCATTTAATTACTTTAATTTTAAGCTGATGATCTATATACAGGTTAGCAATTAAGAACTCTATGCTATACAATCTACCTGATGGGTGCTTACTAATTATTTGCTGACTGATTTCTTTTTACTAAGTAGATTGGTTAACAGCAGTATCACTCTACAAATATAGAGTCCCCTTTCAATAACTTATTTATACATACAAAATTTTGTCAGCATACCTGAAATCTGTGAATTCCATTGATTTGTGAAAACACCATGTTGTTATCATACAGAGCTTTTGAAATAATGTCCAGCACATCTTGCCACTGGAACACACAAAATAAAACAAAAACTACTATTAAGTATTAGCCTTATCTTAAGGATACCAAAAATTGTCACCTAGGCATATTAACTGGTTATATCTTGAAAAAAAAGAAAGTTGAGGTTTAAAACACACTAGAGAGTAGTATTGTTTAACTGATTAGCTACAACTGCCTTTGAGAATTAGGAATAAAGAGATTAAAATGAAACAACTTGTTTTAGAAATAGAATGAAACCCAGCATCCTTATTCAGTACTTTATTTACCACATCAGCTTCACCCTACCCTCTTACCCCTCCAATACACACACAAACAAAACAACAACATGAAATCCATCAACCTAGCATGTTATGTGAAAGAGTAGGTAGGCAGTGTATTAAGTTTGAAGGTTACAATTTGTAAAATATTAAAATGTCTCAAACTTAAAATTATGAAATAAAAATCATGTCTTGTTTCTGTGTGTACATTTATAAGAATGGACTAGATGACCCCCCTTAAAAGTCTCTTCCCACTCTGAGATTCTGTGAATGGCTCTCTGAAGTGATATCAGATTACTACTGCCATCATACTGTCATGTAGAATTTGTCTGATTGACCCAAATCTTAAAAAAAAAAATCACTTAACAGTCATTAACATTTAGCTAACGGATCTGTCACATGCACGCAGATTAGAGAGTATTATCAACACTTTATAAAAGAAAAACAGCCAAATCAATATTAAAAAGGAAATATTGATTATACCGTTGAGAAGACGAGTGATTTGGCACCTGGGTTTTTAAACTGGATTCTCTTCAGAGTTCGAACCACAGCTTCTACTTTTGTAGAATGGCTACCCTTTGAACAAAATGAGAAAATATATCACCAACACCAATCCAAAGACAGAGAAAGGATAAGCAACAAGGAATACAACAGTTAAGTATATATGCAGTAGCTACAGAATACTCAATCTAATCCAACTCAATTAGAAATTATCATTAAGCAAATATTGTGTACAGAGAGCACTGTCTAAGGTGCTAGAGTTACAAAGTTAGATAGGACATAGGCACTATTCTCAAGCATCTTACAATCTAATAAGAGGAGGGGGGAAAACATGATATAAAGGGAAAATGAGACAAGTGCAAAAAAAGAAAGAAGCCCAAGCAAAAGACTATGAGAAATGAGTAAATGATCACTCTCACCTGAGAAATGGAAGATGGAAAGAGCATAAAGAAAGATTTCTTGGGAGAAGAGGTAACTAAGTTGGGCCTTAAAAAATGGGAAAACTTCAATAGATGAATTAAAGAGAGAGAGAATCTACTCTACAAATGAAAGATGATGGGACAAGTCAAGAACAGGTGATGATGTCTTGTGGAAGGTTTCATAGGTTCCCAAAGTAGGTGACACCGCCCCCACAGGGCACTGGAACGATCCAGGGGGGTAGTAACAGTTGAAATGACACGAACTTCAACAAAACCATTAAAGGGTTAAAGAAAGTAGATCTTCAGGGAGGTGCTGAGTGATTTTTTTTTTTTTTGAAAAGGGGGCGGTAGGCCAAATAAGTTTGGGAACCTCTGGTAGATGACAATTTAGAATATAAGTGGAAAAGTTTTTGCACAGCCAATGCAACCAAGATTAGAAGGGGAGCAGAAAGCTGAGAAACAATTTTTAATTAATGTGTTTATTGCAACTCATAGAACTGCAGAGTGGAGAGAATGCTGGACCTGGAATCGGGCAGATGTAGGTTTGAATCCAGCCTCAGTCACTGACCAGCTATTTGACTCTGGCAAGCCACAGAACCACTGTGTGTCTAAGCTGTTCCATTTGTAAAATGAAAGGGTTGAATTAAAGAACCTCTAAGGTCCTTTCTAGCTCTAAAGCTAGTTTTCTGGCAATTTTATAAATTTTAAGTGCAGAGTTCCTCTTTTTCCCCACTGGGGTCTGATGTTTTATACTCTTAATCATATTAACCTGAATTCCTCAACAGACATAAGGAAGGTTATTGACATAGATCAAAAAGGCAATGAGACATTGTGTTCACTGGTCTTCTCCAATGCTATATAGCCACATTTCCAAAAATAAAACTACAAAAAACAAAAACATGTTTTATCATTCTGTTCATCACAAAAAGTGACTGGCCTTGAATAGATGGGAAAATTGCCCCTCACTAAAAGCATTTTGTAGACCATACTGAGGAATAAATTTGTGTCTTTATGTGCTTTATTTTTCTGATACAATAAACATTTTTAGGAGGAACTAGATTATATGAGAGAGGGCTGTAATTATCTTAAGGTGAAAAAAATTCCCAAAGCACAACCAATAATTGTGAGAACTTCCTGTTTCCCTTCCACATCACCTCTTCATACCTGTCCCCTTTCCTTCACTCACATAGCCCCTGACCTCAGTCAGATCCTCATTATCTTTTGCTTAAGACAATTATGCCCCTGATTTCAGCCTTTCTAACTTTTCAGTCCAACTGTTACACAGAGGCTAAAATAATATTAAACCACAGTCTGGTCTGGTCATTTTCCTGATCAAGAATCCTCAAGGGCTCCCTACTGCATCGAGGACACATTACAAATTCTTCAGGCCCTACACACTTTGGCTCCAGCCTAGCCTTGCTTTTTCACAGTTTCTGTATTCCAGCCTAATTAGCTGGTTTGCTCTTCCTTGCACTCAGATTTCCAGTTCACAGCTATGGGTTTTTGCCCAGGTTGCCTCCCATGGCTGATACACACACCCAACTCCTCTCGCCCTTTTACAGTCCTCATCTTCCTGGAAGTCCAGTTCAGGTGCCATCTGCCTTTTTTTTTTTTGGAGCAATTGGGGTTTAGTGACTTGCCCAGGGTCACACAGCTTGTCAAGTGTTTGGTCTGAGGTCAAATTTGAACTCAGGTCCTCCTGATCCAGGGCTGGTGCTCTATCCACTGCGCCACCTAGCTGCCCCGTGCCATCTGCTTTTTGAAACCTTTCCTGATCCCCCTAGTTGTCAGAGCTCTCTCCTACCTGAAATTCTGTTGTACTTCCCTGTTTGTATGTTGAATAATGCAAAGTCCCCCAAGGGCAGGGATACTTTCCTTTTTGTCCTGTGTCCCAGCACAAAGCAGATGCTTAAGAAATGCTTGTTGAATAAAAGTGACAGCAGTTAAGTAGGAGAACCAGCACATGGTCCATGTGTACAAAAATTTTTAAAAAGTGAAAAAGGGCAATGCAAAACAACTTTTAATTGTCAAGAAACAATATGGTATAAAGAGAATAAAAAAAATAAGGGCAATCTGCACCAGAGGGAAAAGAATAAAAAATCCCCCCAGAGTAAAAAAAATTCAGAGGGGAACAAGGTAAATGCTTCAGGATTAATATGGCTCTTCTCCTGCTGCACACCTCCCCCTCATTCATCTGTACAGTTCAGTATTAAAGACACTGTTTAGAAAGATACACCCAAGCTTCCTGCCAGGGCACTCTATGAAAATATTTTCAAGGAAGACCATAGCAATTCCAATACCATCTTTCATTTGCTATGAACTATATTCCACATTAAGGTGATGGCTCTATGAATAATTAAAAAAAAAGCACTTCCTCCACCTCCAGATAGGTTAAAAAACAAAACAAAACAAAATCAACCTTGCAAAAATACAGAACTACCTGGCCCCAGCACACTTGCTCCTCCAAGCTTTGAAGGGTCAATAACAAGGAGTTCCAGAATGTGAAAACCCTGCCTGGCAAAGAGCCCCAAGAAGCTAGGGCCAGTAGGACTTAATTCCTGCTTCTTACATATGATGAAAAAGTGATTGGGGGATCCTGAACCTGGAAAATAAGGAAGGGCTCGTGGTCAGTAGATGACCCTATCTCGGTGAGATTTCTGTAATGTGAGTATGTTTACTTTGGGCTACCTTTGAAAACATTTCCAGTAATCTCTAAAGTAGCTGTGCTAGGCAAAAGGAGAATGATTGAATTAGGATCATATTAGGAAGGGAAATTGTGCAATTAAAATTTTCACATTCTATTCTATCTATGGAGCAATGTTTGGAGCGGTCCCATGGTTCCCACATGAAAAGAAATAGATCACTGTGGATTATTTTTTCCCTCTGCCTATTTATTTATGATGACTTTTTAAATTCTACCAGTATAAAAACATAGATTTCTTTCCTTAAATCACAAGAGATGATTTTTTAAATAACCATTGCCTATGCATTTCTATTTAAATAACAACATTTTGTTTACAGGGTTCTATGACACCTCCGCCCCCCTCACTTCAATGCTACGAGCAATAAGAAACAAATTAAGGTTGCAACCTTTAATGTTACATGTGCTGTTTATAACTCACAAAGAGTCTGGTTTGAATCTATTCATTAATTACATGTTCTGAACCTTTAACAAGTATCAGTCACGGAATTTGAGTTAGAAGAGATTTCAGCAGCAATCTGGGCCAATCTGTACACAAAAGATACCCTTTAAAACACACCTAACCACTAGTCAACCAGTCTCTGCTTGGAGGTCTCTAAGCAGAGGGAGAATTCATCATCTCTTGAGGCAGCCCATTCTACTGTTAGAAAGCTCTAATTGTTAGGAAATCTTTCCTGACATCAAGCCTAAGTGTATCTCTTTGTAACTTCCACTTATTGCTGCTCCTGCTTCTGCCCTCCAGGGCCAAATGGAACAAGCCTACCCCTCTTCCATATGACAGCCCTTCAATCTCTTTAAGACAGCTACCACATTCCCCCTAAGTTTTCTCTTATGCAGGACAGACATACCCATTTCCTTCAACCAATCTTCATAAGATAGGGACTCAAGGTCCTTTATCATAAGGGTAACTCTCCTCTAGACACTCTCCAGCTTGTTCTCATCAAGTTATGGTGTCTAGATCTGAACATGGAACTCCAGCTGAGTTTGGATGGGAGCAGGGTACACTAGGATGGTCACCTCCACATTCCTGGGAGTTATTTCTCTTAATGCAGCATAAGACTGCATTAACTTTTTGGCTGCCATATCATATTTATCTACAAATGTTGTGTACAGATCTCTGTTCTGCTCCTGGCATTTTTCCTGGAGTTGCTGTGCAGCAAACACCCTATCAACCATTTCTTGGCCCTTTCTGAAGCCACACTGGCTCTCAAGTAGAAGACCATCTTCCAGGTGAAGGATCAGCCTATTAAGGAGGACTCTGGCAAGAATCTTGCCAGCAATTACTAAGTCAGAGACCCCCCACTCCCACCCTGTGATTGCCACAGGACAATCTATTTCCTTTACTTTTATAGAGGTGGACAATGGAGGCAGAACTCCTGGGGGATAATCTCCTCTTGCCATATAACCTGGAAAATTTCAGTCAACTTTTGTATGAGCAATGGACCCTCTCTACCTTGTAAATCTCAGCTGGAATAGAATCAGCACCAGGTGCTTTGACACAAACTTCCTGACTCCAGGCCCAGGACTCTCTACACTGTGCCACCTAGCTACCATAGAGGATATAACTATGAATGCTTATAGACAAGCTGCCAAATAGCTACAATAGAGGGCAGTCATCTTTGACTTTGTCTTGATACACACATACACTTCTCGGTCTGGCATTTACAGCATTCCACATTCTGGCTACGGTCTACCCCTTCTAGTCTTATTGTACAGAAATCCCCTTCAAGCACTCCACATTCCACAAACAACCTCAATACCTAGTTGTTCTCTGATCCTGCTCTAAACCACTAAGTTGGGTTCATTCACACAGACTGTCTCAACCATCTATGGGAGGAACTCTGTTCATCACTTCACCTATTGAAATCCTCTTCTTCCTTAAATTCAGGTCAGGTATCACACTAAAACCTTTCCTAATTCCCCCGAGCTCATAGTGATCTTTACCCAAATTTTCC